TTGGAGGGTACTGTAATGGAGCCTCATCGACATCTTGAAAATTTCTCAAAAATGATTTCAATTTTTTCATTTTCTTGTCATATAGAGTAAATTATACTTATAAAATGGCGCAGGTCAAATTGCTTTTGATTTCCGTGAATTTTCGAAAATTTCAAAAGTTTAATATTTTCTGTGTCTTTCTACAACTACAATACTGAAGATATAGATATTTTTTCTTAATGAATTATTTTCTTAAAAATTAATTTTTAAATAAAGTCATCTACTTTTATTTTCAAAATACAAGCAGTTTTCGCGTAAATAAAGACAATTTTAAAAATAAGATTCTTTCAAAAACGGCTGCAATTTTTTCAATATACTTTTAAATCAGTGGAGCTGAATGTCCCGAATAACATGACATAAACGTTACTTTGATGAAACCTTTTAATTTTTAAAATATTAGACATAGGTAAATTTAAGTAGTATTGTAATCTTAAAAAATAATAAAACACGGTACGTACTCTTTTAGGACCAACTGTTTAAATTAAGTTATTGAAGTTAACCATGCAGATGCATGCAATACTTAAAAAAAAGTCAAGTTACGATGCAGCTATACGTGAATCGAATAATATTTTTGTACTTAGAAATGATTCATGACGAAACAATAGTTTCAGTTTATATTAACATATTGAATAAATAATTATATTAATTTACAAGTATATATAACTTTCTACCAAATTTGTAAATAATGTTCTACTTATTATCCTGCGAAGATTACTCTCTGAAATAAATCTGGCGGCTTACTCCTTTAGGTTGAGAAAGTCCACCAAAATTGCAAATGCGAAGTTTATGTTAATAGTAAAAAATGAAATTCGAATAAAACAATTGCATGTATATCAAATTCTGGAAGGAACTTGTCCCTCCCGTCCCTCCAGAGACGCCCGCGCGACTACATCTTATTTTACTGAAAAAAAAAAAAATTACTACACATGTATTGATGGGAATCCTTTTATTGTGTTTAGTGGCGGTGTTTAGGTTATATGTTCAATTTCCAAAATTTAACACAACATTTTAAAGGAAACGTTACACGAGTGTGTAGAACCTACAGACTACATGAATTACATTCCAAGATGAAACTTCCACTTGAAGTCATCAAATATAATGGGTTCCAGTGGGAGATGAGCGAGGTCCTTAATTGTTCTTGTGCGTGCCATGCTGCTTGGCTTTGCCCTTCGCGTTTTGCTTTTTTATAACTGGAAGGGAAGCAGGTCATCTCTCACTCACCGTAGCTGGAGGGGCAGCGGACAGAGAGCGCGCCACGCGCTTCAAGGATCCGGTTCGAATTCGGGTAGATCAGCACGGAATTGACAGTCAGAATAGCGCAGATGGTTACATGCTAATCGAATTCCGAGAAAAGTTCGAAGCTTTCATCTAGTGATGAAAGGAAGCTTGGAAAAATCAATCTATTACGTATCGCCTTCTATTCATCTAAGAATCAAACGTCTGCTATTCGTAATTGGAATGGAAAGCGAAGTATCGCTTCTCTGAATTTTAGAAAGAATTGTATCATTACATGGTAGGTTGAATTGAAAATGATTATGTTTATGACAGTTTGCTAGGAATTATAAGATAGGCTTGCGCAGCTTAAACTAAAGGAAGGCAACTTCATTTAGGAAACCCCTTTTCCATTTGAAAGTCTTATTTACAAATAAATTAAATTAATACATACCACAAGAAAATGAAATAATGACTTCAATGATACGTAAGTAAATATAATATTGCTTTTATGTTGAACCATTCACGTGGTTGCCAAATGGTTGGTTGGTGTTCTCCAATGTCTATAACAATTTTCCAAATTGTCTTGTTAAACGAGGAAAATCAGGGATTGAACATATTTAAGGAAATTTATATTGTAAGGCAACGGGCTCCTTTCAATTTTTTTATGTTAAGGCCCTACTGCCCCCTTTTGCTCACGCCTGCAAATATTAACGAATACTAAAGGAGATCCAAGAAAAATTTATTTTCTAGTGTTGTTCAAAGACAAATAATTAAAAGCTTTGCACAGAATACGTTTTAAGGAAATATTGTACTTTCTCGTATACGTACTTCGTATAACGGCGTAATATACGTAATATAGAGAAAGTTATATAATTGTGGGGGAAATTGATTTCTCGACTTGAACGACAAGATACGTTTAGGGGTTTTTTAGGTGATTTTGAAAATTATTCTTTAAAATTTGGAGGTACTGTAAGTAGCCCCTAGGACATTTTGGTAATTTTCTTAAAAATGTCTCTCTTTTTTTTCTTTAAAATTTCTTGCAATAATAGAGTGGCTTACTACCATACAGAAGGTATAGGTCCAAATAACACTGTTAAACCTCTATTTTCGAAAATTGCAGAAGTTTGAAATTTTTCGGCATCGTCTTGCAACTACTAAATTGAAGATATCCACTTTTACTTCAAATAAAATTTGTTGTTAATCATGTCATGTACATTTAAAAAATAGTTTTTTTGTAATTGAGGGTGCAATGGGTAATTTTAAAAACAAGACCTTTTATTAAAAGCTGCTCCTTAAATATGTACATCGTTTTGAAAACATCAACATCGATGTCGCATCCCTACCACCCAGATCGTCGCACAGTATTTCGAGTTGCGCTGGCGTGGAAGAGTCATCCTTTTCTCTGGCCGACAGAATTTTTTTTTTTTTTGTGAACGCAGATTAAGCGACAATCTTGTTAGCTTAGTGGGCTTTCTGGCACATTCGGTGCGTTATGCGCGGCCAGCGCCGCCTCACGAGATCCCAGAGCTCGGGACACGACATCGACGACGATGTTTTCTTTTCTCGATCTGTTTTGTTCTCGACGTTTTTACGTTTTCAACATTTTCTTTCTGAATGAAAAAATCTCACAATCACAATTTTGAAAAGGTTGAAACATTAAATAATAACCAATGGTAGCACTGTCAGTTTATGTGTTCGAACCAAACGAACGGTATTTGTCCTACCTTCATCAAGCAATCTGTCGTCAGAGATGACCACGATATCCTAGTATTCTTTGTCTTTCCTCGAATCACACATGCAGTCGATACATGCACCAGGGGTGTAGGGCCTCCCTCTTCTTCCCGTATCATTCTTTGGCAAAATGAACTTCGTCTTACCCTTTCAGATGACCCATTGCTCTTAATATACTTAATTTTGTTGTCAGTTAAATTTTAATAATAAATTAATAAGCATGCTCACTGTTAAAAATTAAATCCTTTTGCGCCCGACTTTACTATTAAAGTTTACATCGCCAGCTTTAACATATCGATGTATAAAAACGTCATGAAGCCTCAACATTTTCAAAATGTTTTAAAATTTGGCCTCAAGTTTTAATACCGGATAGAGTAAATGCCCCTTAAAAGAATGTCGAAAATCTCATTTTCGTTGAACTCTCTCAAGTTTAAAAAATTGAAAAAGTCCGAAATAATGCGAGAACATATGAGCTGTTGTAGTACCACTAGTTATGCCCCCCAAGGCGTTAGCTGTTCGCATTTCGCGCCGTCGCGTCATCGAGTCCCGTCGCTGAGCGCCGCAGATCTAGCAGAAGAGGAACTGTTGGGTAGGATGCTATCGAAAAAGGTGAGAGCACGTTTTGGATGAGTACTCATCCAACAATGCCCAACCAGATATACCTACAAGATTGGGACTGCGGCACCACGCGCGGTAGTTCAGCGGGCGCTGCTCTCGCTCAGGCGAACAGCGCACTGTCGAATGCCCTGAGCTGTGTCAGCTATGATTACACGCAGAAACCCACCAAAGGGTTTTCTTCGCTCTTATCGCAACGCTCGCGATCAGCGCGCTGCCAACATGAACACTTCGATTTATTTCCTTGCGTTGATTCGCTCTTACCACTGCCATAAATGTTTGCCCCTGCTCCACGTCGACCGTGAAAGAGGAAGTGGCAGATACAAATGTGTACATGTGAACCGGATGTTAGAGACATGCCTACTCATGATTTGGATTCAGGGCATCGTAGCCCGGAAAATATCCGGGGCATTGCGAGAACCACTTCTTCTCCTCCCCCTCCCCGCCCCTTTCAGCTTCTCTCTCCATGGGTCGCCCGCCGCATACGAGCGTAGCCCTTCCAGCACTGAGCTTGTGTTGTGCGAAGAACTGTTGGCATCTCGTGTGACCGAGGCTGGTTGGTTGGAGGATCTAGGGCTACCGTTTTCAGAATGCCTAGAGCAGCGATGTCAAGGACGATACCACCAGTAGTAAACCTTGACATCACTGGCCTAGAGTAAGAAGCTGCAACTGAAGCTTTGCACGAGAAGGAGCATTGGCCAAGAGGAGTGAGTACGTACTATACTTCGCACCACATAAGACGCTGGATGGAAACTCGATACTATGTGGATGAACATTCAAGAGGCTGATAGGTTGTTTCCGCATCTTCTACTGACCAATTCCGGAGGTACCAGACCCGCTGATCGCGAGCGATAACTTTTCGCTCATTCTCATCCAAAGGGCCGAGGGATTGCTCATGACTAGAGCTCAAAAAGTTGGGAAAATGCATTTTTATTAAGATTTAACAACAGTTATCTTTTATCCGTGCTCCTGAAAGTGTTTTAGAATAATTTCATTTTGCCCTTTGTAATCACACCCGAGTGATCGCGTGTGAACGCGAGTGATCGCGTGTGAACGCGAGTGAACGCGAGTGAACGCGAGGGAACGCGAGTGAACGCGAGTGAACGCGAGTGAACGCGAGTGAACGCGAGTGAACGTGAGCGATCACGCGTGAACGCGAGTAACCGCGTGTGAACGCGAAGGTACGCGAGCGTTCATGTGAGAACGCGAATGTGCGCAAGTGTATGCGAGAAGCACGAAAGAGCGCGTATGTAGGGGAGTGAACTTGGGTGTTCGCAAGTGTAGTAGACGCGAGAACGGGTCTGTGAGCGGGGGCGGGGCGAAGGGCGCGGGCGGGCGCACCGGGAGCCTCCGGGTCGGCAGGTGACCGGAGCCCGCGGCGAGCGAGTAGTAAGCGGTGGATGGGGGAGCGGGGGGTGCCGTGCACGTTGCGTCATCGCGGAACATACCGCGAATCGCGTGAATTCGACGGCGACCGCGGCGGCGGCGGCGGCGGCGGCGGCGGCGGTGGTGGAGGTTGGGGAGGGGAGGGGGCGGCACAGGAGGACGCCGGCGGCGCGGCGTCTCCACTTCGCGTCAGTGGCCCAGCGGCGAGCGGCGACGGCGGAGTCTCCCAGCGCAGAAGCCGCACAGCGCAAACGCGAAAGGTCTCCGAGGAGCGGCAGCGGAGCGACGCCCGACTCGCGAGGTAGGCGCCGCGGAGGGCAACGACCGCACGGGGCTTGGCCCGCGCGCTCCCAAAGGTGCACTAGGAATGCTGGGCAATCCGCAGCACACATCCAACAATCGAACGCGTTGCTAATAGTCACGTCACGTTCTCCCGTGTTGATATAATTTCGACTGCTGCAGAAATGTTAACAATCACGTGTTTTCTTTAAATTAATTTCATAATTTTGGTACCTGTGCACAACATTCCGTAAAATACCATTAGAGTTGCCGATCTTACTCAAAATTTAATAATTTTCTAATCAAGTAGCGGGCTAATAGGTATCAATTTCCAAATCAAGCTGTTAAACGTTCATTGTGTTTTATACAATAATTAACGTACGTCAATGAAATTATTATGGCCTGAACTCTTGGAAGTGTCCGTATTATGATTGTGAACCTTGTCAATTCTGGAAGTACACGCCCCAGGAAATATAATGACAATATTCTGGTATTCTTGACAATACAATCAGCTAGTCGTGTGTCCGATCGAGTAGAATTGCCCGCCATGTGTTCGGTAACCAAATAACGGCACTAAAGGCAAAGGCTATTCTCAATGCATACACTAAAATATTTTTCAGGTGAAACGATAGATGAAATTCTATGTAAAGAATAGGCAATTTAGAGCTTGCATTTTGTTATTACAGAAATGACAAGGTGACCTTCTTTCGATCCACATTGTTTGATTATAGTTCTTTCATTGTAGTTTATAATAAAATATAGACCGTAAATACAAAAAAGTAAGCAAAAGAATGCTTAAAATGAGTATTAATTCTATAATCTAAAATTTCTAAAAATTCACGACTATAAATTATTGTTTTATTGGATGTTATATCCTGTCTCTAAGTTTAGACGCAGGATATAGAATTGGATATCATGCTAACGTGACACGGGATATAAAATTGGATCTCCTTTGACGTGTTGACAATGCTTCATCAATCCATAACAATACTACATCGGCTATAGGTTTTTAAATTTAATTTACAATATCTCTGTATCGGCCTTCCGTAATGCCTCTTAGCTCTATCGTTATCGATGTTAACCAAATTAATCTCCGCAGCCAGTTCCTTACGAGCGGAGGGTAGCTGATGGGATTACGGGGGTTGTCACGCGTCAATGTGAGGAGAGTGTGGAAACGAAGTGAGGCTTGCGGCATGCCACGATCTTCCCCTGCAGCGCCTTAAATACTCTACACGTGAATTATATGAAGAACCATGAATTAACGCGTGTTTGAGTAATAAAAGCCACAGAAGTATTGGTCCTTTGAAAGTGGTTCTTTATTTCTTTTTTAAGCTGTATGAAATCATGAGAATGAGTTAAACTTGAGTCACATTACTTGTTTATTCAGCAACTTACAGACGTTTTCAACTAGGGTATAAACTACCCTCATCACTACTGCGATATTGAAAAGTAATGATAATCAGTGTTTTCCCCTAGAATACCTTTCATTTATATCATAGACGAGGAGACCTATTAGTAGCGCTATCAAAAATGTTGGTGTTTAGTTACACTAAACGTTTTCTACGACATGCCCAGAAGATTTTTGTCTTGCTGCAGGGAGGTAACGAGGCTTCGTCAATACCTTACTCCAACCTACAAACAGTATATGCAAATCAATCGATACGAATATTAGAAAAAAACTATAAAAACTGTCCCACTTGTCAGGGACGAACTTCGAATATAAACGAACTGATTGGTCCTACGTTAATGGTGAATAAGTAATGATGTTAACAAATTTAACACCAACTAAATGATTTTACTGCTTTACTCACTGAATATAGATTCAATTAGGTATATTTTATGATCGCAACAACTAGATATCTCGTGTTAGTGCTAGTACCATTGTTTTAACTATATGAACGTAGCGAGTAAGCAAAATGAAGCCTGTCCAGGGCTTTACACAAAAGACAGCATCCACAATAAACGCCACTGTAAATAACACGTTTTACGACGACTTATTCTCAGTATAATAATGGCTCTTCAAAGCGTTAAAAAATTCTAGGTGAAACTTTTAGAAATTACTTCGCAATGTTTCCCTACATGAAGTTTACATTACGGATTTCGTCAGTTTGATTGATCTTTCTGGGCACGTCAACTGTCATCATCAGTGTAGTTAATGCTTTATCGCGGGTGGTGGCGGTGTCCTACCCTCGCTGTTTGGTGAGATGCGGCGCTAACCTACACGTTGGCTTGAGGGGCTTCCCTACATCCAGGTATCGCCTTCCAGCGGGCCACCGTTCCAGCAGGGACAAGTTCTAGCTCCCGAATTGTCTTGCAACATGTGTAGAGCTTTAAGTGTGTGTGTGTGTGTGTGTGTATGTATGTATGTATGTATTCGTGTTTGGGTTTGTGTAAGGGGAGAAAAGGAACAAAAATGAGGAAGAAAAGATCGCGTTCGGTAAGAGGTCAGTCTGTAAAGGCACTGCTCCGACACGTGCTTATAATTGATTAGAGAAACCACAGAAAACCACCGATCAGAACAGCCGGCCGCCAGAATTCTCCTCCAAATAGTAGTTGATTTCGACCTAACTATGAAGCTAGTTGAGAATTCGTCAGCGTCGGGTCTAGATCTCAATGAACTCCCGGGGAACTGCAGGGACAGCGGCAAAACTGGAAAAATCATATTATGAAGTACTGACAGATTCTTCATATTGTTGGTAGTAGCAGTACATCCCAATCTTTTACAAAAAAAGACCCCAACGGGAATGATCCAGGTGTTAACATATCATTTCAAGTTCGACAGTAAAACAATCTGAGTTTCATTTTCAAACAAGTTGAGTTCTTTAAGCAAGAAATGATAAAACTCACACTTCCTCCACGTTAGAAACATACGAACAGTCAATAGCATTCGAATACATGTGTAAGCAGCAATGCATTCTGCCTGCAGAAGGCAAAGTGATCTTTATATGTACTGTATATGTTATGTGATTTGCCAACAAGCACTGCAGCTCCTTTTTTAAAATATAATGTAAATGTAACTTAATCAATATAACTTCAAGCCAATTTAAGGTGCAACCTTCAATCCAGTAAATGCGGATCATACTGATCACAGACCAGAGTTACTAAGGGGAACTCTACTTTTTTACTTATTTTACTTAGGCTTACTTTTTTCTTATTTTTTACCCGAAGTTATATAACAAACATTTTTTTAAATCTAGCGTTTTTTAGAAACAACACCAAATGCAGACTGTAAATGTATCTAGTTTAGTACATACCAAAAACGATCAAATTTAAAACAATATGAACAAATCAATCATAATGTTTAAGGATTTTTACATTATATGCAACTTTAAAACGGCAGGCGAGAAATGGAGCTGAGCTGATCTGATCTTAAAGTAGGTTTGGGGAGACTGACCATCACAACTGAACAGGCCATCTATGCACACCCTGGAACATGGTATCACAACTGAACTTACTGTAGCATATTACTGACTGCACAACATTTTATCATTTATCATATGAATACGACTGGCACATATTGCAACGTACGCTGAGTTTGTCCTTGTTAAGACGACTCCACGAATGCGGCATTCGACGAATCCCGAGTTGTGTGGACGGTTTGCTTGCGATTCGCCGAGCGCCAAACATTCGATACTCGCCCTTCTCACCGCGTGCTGGTCTTTAGGATCATCAAAGGTAGCGAACTTCGCCGAACACATCAACTGTTCGGGATTGGGCGAGCAGAAGCTCGGAGCTCGGCGAATGCCGAATGTGTGGAGCCGTCTTTAGCCATGAAAATTACGTTGTAGAACGTCTTCAGAGTCCTTTTTCTACGAGTAATGAGCGTAATGACCAATCCGTATGTAAGAAAATAGTATGTGGCAAACTCTGTGGTTAATACGAGTATATAAGCATTTTTAATTCAAAATTTGTTATAAATGTTCATTAATTCATACAAAATTTATTAAAATGTCTAAAAATGTATGTGACATGCTTTATCACTAATATACTATTCATAATATTTTTGCAAAATGAATATTTGCTGATCAATCTTGTTCGACTTGAAGCCCAGCGTTTTTGAAAATAATTCTTTAAATTTTAGGGGTACTTCACGTAAAGCCGCTGTGGTGTTTTTAGTTTTCTCAAAAATTCATACAATTTTTTCCATAAATTACTTGTAACATTAGAGTGAAATATGCTTTTAAAAATGGAATATGTCCATTTTCACTGTTACCCCGTACATGTTTGAAAATTCCGAAAGTTTGAATTTTTTAACCCCTTCTACAACTGCATTAATGAAGTAAGATTTTTTCTTCAAATAAAATTTACTCTCCACAATTATGCAATAATAGAAATAAGATTTCCTAAAAAACGACTCCTTTTTCTTGTTTGCACTTTTTCTACGGATAGTGCAAAATGCACTGAATAATAAGAAATAAAAAAATAAATTTTATGTTTTCTTTCGATTTTCCAAAAAGTACACAATTTTTATGTCTCTTACGTCGGCAATATTTACATAACTTATTTTATGTATTATCGCATTTGTTACTACGTCTGCTCCAAGCGATTTCTTATGAAGTTTCTCGAAAACACCAACTATTTTTGTGTACATGTGCTGAAAATTGTGCATTTTCAGAAACGCTCAAAAGGTAATTTATCGAAAATTGCTTTTTCAGTCAAAATTTGCATTTAAGATCATTTTTTACTCTTCTGTAATATTATTAAAGACCTATTTCAATTCAACTATTTGGGAACACAAAAATCGAAAAAATGTGGAAAAACACCTTAAGTGGTGATATGAAGCTACTGGGAAGGTGGGACAAAACCGAGAAGCTAGTCCAGACTCAGGAGATTAGGAAACTAATTAGCAGGAGAAAGTCTGTGCCAGTCTGTGCCAAACCAAATTGTCGGACATACGCACGACATCCAAGGGCTATGACCCGCCCATCATAAATCCTCAATGAAAACAATAAAATCTGTAAATATATGACATATATAAAAAACTAAACAATAACAAACGATATTGAATATACAGTTTTATGT